AGGTATTTATATTATGTAATGCTACACCATATGGATTCCCACATGACCAGGTGAGTAATCAACACATATTTATATTATGTAATGCTACACCATATGGATTCCCACATGACCAGGTGAGTAATCAACAGGTATTTATATTATGTAATGCTACACCATATGGATTCCCAGATGACCAAGTGAGTAATCAACAAGTATTTATATTATGTAATGCTATACCATATGAATTCCCACATGACCAGGTGAGTAATCAACAGGTATTTATATTATGTAATGTTATATCATATGTGGATTCCCACATGACCAGGTGAGTAATCAACAGGTATTTATATTATGTAATGCTACACCATATGGATTCCCAGATGACCAAGTGAGTAATCAACAAGTATTTATATTATGTAATGCTATACCATATGAATTCCCACATGACCAGGTGAGTAATCAACAGGTATTTATATTATGTAATGCTATATCATATGTGGATTCCCACATGACCAGGTGAGTAATCAACAGGTATTTATATTATGTAATGCTATATCATATGGATTCCCGCATGACCAGGTGAGTAATCAACAGGTAATTATATTATGTAATGCTATATCATATGGATTCCCACATGACCAGGTGAGTAATCAACAGGTATTTATATTATGTAATGCTACACCATATGGATTCCCACATGACCAGGTGAGTAATCAACAAGTATTTATATCATGTAATGCTACATCATGTGGATTCCCACATGACTCAGTGAGTGATCAACAAGTATGTATATCATGTAATGCTACACCATATGGATTCCCACATGACCTGGTGAGTAATCACCAGGTGAGTGATCAACAAGTATTTATATTATGTAATGCTATATCATATGGATTCCCACATGACCAGGTGAGTGATCAACAAGTATTTATATCATGTAATGCTACACCATATGGATTCCCACATGACCAGGTGAGGGATCAACAAGTATTTATATTATGTAATGCTACACCATATGAATTCCCACATGACCAGTGAGTAATCAACAGGTATTTATATCATGTAATGC